AACAGTACATTCTGTAAGTGCTTCTGGTGTTTTCAACATGATGTCAAACATCTGGACACTTGGAAGTGGATTCCTGATAGCTGTCTTTCAGTTGCCATCTGAACTCTTTGTTATTTTTCAGATATAACAGCTATTTACACAACTGAAGGAAAATTGATATAAAAACCTTAAGATCTTTGCAAATCTTAGAAAAATGATAACAGAATTATAATATAAAACTACAGTCAACAATTCTGAACAGTATCTTAGTGTTTTATTTAGGAAGGAACCCAAGAGTCTCACACATGCAGGGCAAGCAATCTCCCACTTAGCTATTGCCAGACCCCTTGGTGTTTATTACACAAATAACATTGTCTGATGCCAATAATTTGTTCTGTAAGACCTCAGAGGTTTGAGGAACAATTCATTGGCAGTGAAATTAATAATGCTGACACTATTAAAAAAAAGTCAGGAAGACAGTAATTTGACACTATGGTTGAGATCTCTTGCATGTCCACTTGATCAGAGACTTGGCATACAATATCTGTGATGGTTAATCTCTACTGTCAACTTGAGAGATCTAGAATCACCTGGAAGAAAGCCCTCTGGGGGATTATCATGATTAGATTAATCGAGGTGGGATGATCATCCACTATGAATGGTACCATACTGTGGACTGGGATCTTGGACTGCATAAAAAGAAGAACGTAGGATGAGCACAAAGATTTGTGGCTCTTTGCTTCTTATTAGGCATTTGTTGTGACAAGTTGCTTCAAGCTCTTGCTGCTTTGACTTCTCTGCCATGCAGTCTGCACCCTTGAACTGTGAGCCTGAGGAAACCCTTCCTTGCTTACGCTTTGTCAGAGTATTTTATCACAGCAACAGGAAAAGAAACCAAAACACTCAATGAAAAATAATTATCATTTGTGCAATTATGTGTATTCAGAAATTTCTGAAGTACTTAACAAATTATTATGTTGAATATAAATATGTCCTAAGTTCTCCACTGATTTTACAAAACAAGCCTTTTGTGTTTCATCTTTAGATTTTTAAAAACCTCAGAATAATTTTTACTACTAGCATAATTTTTTTAGAAATAAATAAACTCAAGTTGTGATTTTTCTTGTTATAGTTCCTTTCTAATTTGGTCTTAAGGCCTCTCTGTAGAGAATGGCTATAAGCCAAGGGAGATACCGTGTAAGACATACCTGACCTGGGGGAGAGGTGTGATGGGGAAGTCAGCTGGGTACGAGGCTATAGGAGATGAAACAACAACAACAAAAAGTAAAGCACAAGAAATGCTTTACTTACATATCCCAGAGAGTTAGAGGTATCAGTAGAGGATGCCCAGACGAGAAGTCTGAAGGCAGCCAGATGTGTAGGAGCAAGAAAGAGAGGACCTGTCTGCGCTTTATTAAGGTCCATGTGCATTATCCCTTAGGCTTCCCACAAGGGTTGTAGATTGGCTAATTAGAGGAAAACGTGAAAAGTGGTTAGTTTTATATAAGATTCTGATGCTGAGCCCTAAGAGTGATAGAGGACAACCTTGAGGGTTGGTCTTCATCTTCCACCTTGTAGGCAGGGTCTCTCTTTGTTGCTTTGCTGCTGCACTGCATACAGCAGGCTAGCTGGCCTGTGAGTTGTGGGGATTCTCATTTCTCCCACTCCCATCTCACTACAGGAGCATTAGGATTACAGACATGACCTACCCACCCGGCTTTATGTGGGTTCTGGAGAGACTAACTCAGTTCCTCATGCTTGCAGGGCATTAACCCAGCCTGAACAAGTTTCTTCATGGTTAGCAGCTATGGGATACACTGGGCTCAGAGGGTCTGCTTTAACTAGTCCAAAGGATCAGGTTTCAAACAACTCACGACAGGCCTAATAATGGTGGATCTTAATGATGAGTGTATGTTGAACCACACGCATGCCACCAACTACTTTAAACTTAGGACAAAAACTTAGCCTTAGTTTTTATTTCATGGATTCATTAAGGGTAGAAGCTTAATAGAAAGTTGTATATATAGTGGATTATAGTAGAAATAATGAATCCTGGTCAGGTATGAATTTATGATTTTAAATATACCAAGACAGGTGTAGACATAGTTACAAATTTGTATAGTTACAAATATTCATGCATCTATTTTTAACTCTATCCACAGAATGGGCCTAGCATAATGACCATATTTAGCATTGAGATCTTAATTTCCAAATATCATTCTTCACTAAAACAACTAGAGATCTTCCAAGAAAGGACTTTTTCCAGGCTGGGGCGGGGTGGGGGGATGAGAGCCTGGAATACATTTTTATTAAGTAAAGAAGTACACACACATACATTTACATACAATACACACATACACAAAGAGATGTATATGAGAGAGAGAGAGAGAGAGAGAGAGAGAGAGAGAGAGAGAGATCATGGGGATGGGCCAAAAAGAAAACTGAACCTAATTAAAGCATGCACACTAGCCAAATCTGGGAATGGAAATACAAAATGACAGAAATGGATTATATCCCACTGATTAAAAATCCACAGTACCACACTGTTACACAAAGACAAATAAGTAAGTCAGAAAGTGGAAAAATTTCTTTAGCATAGATAGGAAGCTACCTGATATAATTGTAGAAGAAATTAGGCAGGGTGGCATGCATCTGTAGTCCCAGCACTCAGGAGACTGAGGCAGAAGGACCACTTGAATCCAGAGATTTGAGACCAATCTAGAAAATATAATGAGACCTCTTATTTCAAACAACAATAACAAATGTCTTTGAATTGGGAATGTGCTAGAGTGCTTGCCTCACATGTCAGAAACCCAGGGTTTGAACTATAGCACTGCAATACCAAAAATTTCTCACAGTTGTACAGGAACAATGAAATTAGAAACTTGTAATGAGCAATCATCATAAGAGAAATTGATTTAGGCGAGACACATCACTAAATGCCAAACAAAGGTGAAAATTTTAGGAGGAATAAATGTCTATATCTATATCTATGTACACACACACACACACATATATATATATATATATATAGAGAGAGAGAGAGAGAGAGAGAGACTCTATAGTCTATCTAGTCTATATATAGTCTAGGATATCTCTATATCAGGTTTTTATTAATTTAAAAGGGAAAAATAATAACAAATAGAGGGGAAACCTAAAAGTACCACCTTAACCAAGTGATCAGTTTTAACAACATTCATGCTGGGCAAGTGAACATTACGTGCTTCTGATATGAGATTCTTGAGAAGAATGTAACATTCTGATATTCCTGACAAATGTGAATCTTCAGTCTAATAATGAGAAAATCAAAACTCCAGATGAAAAGAAGTTCTACAAAATGACTGGCTTATCCTCTTCCACAGTGTCAATGCCACAAAAATTAAGGTAATGACAGGAGCTGTTCCAAGCTGAAAGAGACAAAGATGACAGCTGGATGCCATGCATAACATATGAGTTTCATTGCTCTGTAGAGCATTATGGAAAAGATCTGAATAATATATACAGAGCAGATCATGGTACCAAGACAATATTAATTTCCTGATATATTTGCACTATGGTTATGCAAAAGAATGGACTTATTTTTAGGAGATACACTGATGCATTGGGAAGAGGTTGAGAGAGACATAGATAGAAAGATGTTAACATCCGGAGAATTTACAAGAAGAGCACATGGGAATTCTTTGTGCTATCCTTGAAACTTTCTTGCATATATGACATTATAACAAAATAAAGTAAAAGTTAAAAACTATAGAAAAATGTAGATCCTGCACCTACACCCTCAACACGTGCTCCTAGCACATTATCATGTTTTAACTTTTTTGGCACTGGTTCTGTTTCCTGGTTTTGAATAAACTCAGTTATTATTTTAAGAATTTTTAGCTTATTTTTATTCTGATTATTAAATTTCTTAGAATGTTTTATTCATAAGTTAGGCTGCAATCCAAATATCCTCTAAGCCATTTTCTAAAGTGTAGTTCTCAAGCAGGACAAAGTAACATTTGCCTATGTGGTCAGTTGCTTTTCTAAAAACAGCTCTCTTCATATATAGGCATTTCATTTTACCTTCAATAATCAGACAATGAGAATAGATAATTTATCACATTCCCCTTTTGCTTCTTTATGAACAGGAAGCAGCAGCAGATCTTAGTGTTTACATTGCAGTCATCATATTTGCATTTTTAATTTAGTAGCAGTAGTGTATGTGTGTGCATGCATGTGTGTGTGTATAGATACACATACATGCCATGGCATGCATGTGGAGGTTAGAGGACAACTTTGTGGAGTCAGTTCTCTCCTTTCATCTTTACATGGATTCCAAGGATTAAGTTCAGGTCATCAAGCTTCTGTGTGTGCAGCAAGCACCTTTACCCACGGAGCCATTTCACAGGCCCTAGTAACCATACTTAATGAGAGAAATGCATATTTCTTTAATATGCACTACATGACTAGATTTTCTATCTTCATTTTATGAAAGAAAATGTAGTACATATTATACAATAATTAAATAATTTGGGTCCAGAAAGGTGGCTCAGTGGTTAAGAGCACTAGGCTGTTCTTCCAGAGGACCCAGGTTTGGTTCCTAGCACTCACATAGCAGCTAACAACCATACATTACTCCAGTAACAAGGGATCCAACTCCCTCTTCTGGCATCTATGGACATTATACTCACAGGTACACTTACATATATGCAGGCAAAACACTAAAACACACAAAGTTAAAGTAAATGCAGTTTTTTAAATTAAAAAATTAAGAATTTTTAAAATTTCATGTGCCAATCTATGAAATGCAGTTAATGAACAGTGTATACGTTAATATTGTGCTTTAAGAGAACCTACACTACTGTATTAGTTCACAATTATATGATATACGCTTTGAAGGAAAAGCTGGGTCCATATTGAACATATTATTAACACCTATGAGAGGAACTCAATACAGCATTTTGGTAATGATACTTTATCCAAATTTTTAAAGTAGATGAAGATTTGGGGCTTACTAAGTAATAATATATAAAGAAACACACCTTGTGTAGGCAAATGAAAGCTGGGGTTTCAGCTAAATTAACAAGCCGCTCATCTCGAACGTTAATCGTGGGCACTATGGCAGAAGGGAGGTCTTTTGGGTCCTCGTCCTTCTTTTCTTCTGTTGCTGCAGCTGCTGCTGGTGCTGCTGTTGCTGCTGCTGCTGCTGCTGGTGGTGCTGCTGTTGCTGGTGCTGCTGGTGGTGGCAGTGGTGGTGCTGCTGCTGCTGCTGAGTCTTCTTGTTTATCTTCTTCCTCCTCCTCCTCTTCTTCTTCCTCTTCATCTATGTCTGTGCTACTGTCTTCCATTGTTCACAATCCTATAATAAAATTGTTCAACATTCAGTTAGCTAAGAAGGCCTTCATTTAAGAAGCAAGACTAACAAAAACTAGTAAAAAATTAGTTGTTCCTCAATACAACTTCAATACACTGTAAGTCAGGAAAGTTAGCTATTATCTTATTATTAAAGACTCTGCTGTAAAGCTCTCTCTCTCTCTCTCTCTCTCTCTCTCTCTCTCTCTCTCTCTCTCTCCTCTACTGTCTTTCTGCTGGGGACAAGACCCAGGGCCTTCAGCATGCTACTCAAGTGTTCCCACTGACATATACCCCCAGCCCCAGATGTTCTCTATTGCTACAGTCAAATCTATAATTCTAATGACAAAGTAGGCTATTGATGCCTTACTTGGGAAATAAAATATATAGCTTTTCTAGATGAACTCCATGAGGGCAGAAACTGAATTTCTGAGTATAATAGTATAAAACCTTTACCCTTAAAATATAACATAAAATTGGGAACTGGAGAGATAGCTCAGCAGTTAAAGGCCTTGCTTTAAAAGCAAGGAGAATTTCGACTCCCAGAACTCATGTAAATATTCAATGACTATGACCATCTACTTGTAATTCCAGTCTGAGAGGGCAGAGACAGGGCATTCCCCAAGCAAGCTAGCTGGAAAAATTAGCCATGTCAGGGAACTCTGGGTGTGACTGAGATTCTGTCTCAAAGAGTAGGGTAGAAGACCCATCAAGAAGATTCCTGACATTAACTTTGGGGCTTAACATGTTTGCACACATGTATGCACCAACACACATGCAAACATGTATACACACATACACATTAAAACTACACACACATAAACACACACACACACACACATATATATATATATATATATATATATGTATGTATGACACCCACAATTAATTGCAGACTTTGGAAAATATAAAACAAAGAGCCAGGGCACGGGAAGGGTGAGTGTAGGCAGAAATAAGCTCTTGAGAAGCCAAGCAAAGGAACAGGCAACAGAGACAGTAATCACACTTAGCAGGGCTGAGCACATCTCATCTCAGGAAGAAGACACTTTTCATTCATTTAATTGCAAAGGAGAACAAGGATTACAATAAATGCGAGTCATTTCTGAAATAAGCACACAGGACCTTTCTGGCTATCATGCTAGGCAAATCTCACTTAGCTCTCTGATGCCTCTACCATATAGAGCTTGTCCATGCTTCTGTACCCACCCTTAAAACACTGTACTGCAATTTACTGCTTTTCATATCCTCTCCTCCCTAACTGTAGTCCTTAAAATGGAAACTATGTTTACCTAGATATCATCAATACCTAGCAAATACCGTCATTCTAGAAGATATGTGAAGAATATTTGCGAGTAAAACAAACTCTGCTACTCTTCTGATTTTACAACTGCAAATGATTTGCTTGGTTTTTCAGAGGTAAATGCTAATATGAAACCATCAATGTAACAGTAATCTATTCAACATACTAGAAAGGCAGTTTGTCCAACCCAAAAGTCACAAAGGAGCAAAACTGAAGCTCTTCCCTGATTTCTGTTACCAGCTTCGAAAAGCTTTCTTCACCAAATCATACTGGCAGCTTCCTACATGGCTGCAGAATCCAGTGTAAAACAGATGTGTTTTGTTTTTTAAAAAGTAAGAAAAATTTGGGACTGGAGAGATGGCTCAGTGGTTAAGAGTACTGGCTGCTCTTGCAGTTTGGTTCCCAGCACCCACATGGCAGTTAACAACCATCCCTAACTCCAGTTCCAGGGGATCTGATGCCCTCTTCTGACCTCCTCAGACATTGCATGACACAGGTGCACTTACATACATGCAGACAATGCAATCATACACATAAAATAATAAATAAAATATTTTTAAAAAGCAAAAAAAAAATTACTACGAAAGTTACCAAAATATAAAGTTTTCCCTTTAAAACTATTTATTGCTTATGGAATATAACAGGATATGTAAATAACAAAATAAATATAAACAATATAAATTTCAAGAAAATGTTCTGGTATAATAATTTTACATAATTAAATAATAGTGAAGTGATACCTTGACTGATCTTAAGATTTTTCTGACTCATATTTTCTGCAAAATTATTTATTAGGTCATCAAAATTTATACTTCTGCAACTTCATTTTTAATTGACATAATTGAAAATGATGTCAGTTTCTTTTGGGAAATATAAACTCACAAAAAAATTGGCAATGTTTAATTTTGAAAAGAATCTTCCTATGGCCACATGTGTTATTAAGAGTATTTACAGGCTATTCAAAAGAACAAGAAAAATTTCTGATAAATCATTTCAAAATACAACCTCTAGAGCTGATGAGTCTCTTTTGTGAAATGCCGTCCTCCAAGCATAACAGTCATTACATTAGGCTTTTGTTTGTTCATTTTTTCGTTTTTTTGTTTTTATTCTTGTTTTTTCTTTTAATTTTATTTATTATTTTTATGTGTATGCGTATGTTGCCTGCATGTAGGTAAGTGCACCCGTGTCATGCAATGCCCACAGAGGTCAAAAGACAGCGTCAGATCCTCTAGGACTGGAGTTACAGACAGTTGTTAGCTGCCATGTGGGTGCTGAGATACAAACCCAGGTCTTCTGCAAGAACAAACAGTGTTCTTTCCCACTGAGCCATCTCTCCAATCCTTTTATTTTTGTTTTTTATAGACAGAGTATACCTGTAGTCCCAGCTGGCCTGGAATGCACTATGTAGACCAGGCTAGTCTTGATTTCAGATTTCACAGCGAACCACCTTGTCTCTGCTTCTTGGGTGTTGGAATTATAGGTGTGTATCACCATGCCCCACCTTACATTAGTTTAAAAACTATCTTTATTAATTCTTTTGAGTATTTCATACATTGTATTTTGATCATATCCTCACCCCCAATTCCATCCAGCTGAGGAGCTAATGGAATTTGATAGCTGCAGGGAGATGAGGAGTCAGTTTTATTTAAGGGTCATTACATTCTTTAAAAAATATTTAGTATTTCATATAATGTGTTTTGATCATGTTCAGATCTCCTCCCATATCTGCATGCCCTCTTACATCTCCCTCCTATCACAATTCATTCCTCTATTATTAATTTTTTATGGCCTCGTGAGTTTATTTCTTGTTCCTGTCATTACATTCTTAATCAGAGCAGTTGTGATTACCTGCAGGAGACCCACAAGATGGGCCTGTTGACCTTCCCTCAAACAAGGCAGGGGGGAGGTCATTAGACTCTCACCTGACATTCCAGTGCTCCCACCTACACCTCTTTCCCAGCTGTTTGTAATTCTGCCTCAACTGCCATGGTCTCAGGGGGTGCTATTGAATTTAGTGGGTGGAAAGCTAACTGGCATGGGGGCAGGGCTCCATCTATGCAGCCATAGGGACATCTTCATTGAAGCTCTTTTGAAGTCACCAAGGCTGCTCTAAACAAAGCCAATAAACTCGTGATTCATCAAGGCAGGGGTGGAATCCTGACTTTTCTCTGTCATTGGTGCTCTATCTGGGGAGCAGTCATTTGTTCATGTCACCCCAGGAAAAGTTAATGCAACTGTCTCATAAATTTTTTTTTCTGCCTATATGAAGATAAGTCAAAGGTCCTGCTCAACCATTGGCTTCGCTTGGAAGCATGGAGGAAAAGATTCTCTGTGTTGACCCTCCTTTTTATAGACTGGACACTGGTTCGAGTCCATCTGGTGGGGTCTCCTCGGCCTCCTTGATCAAGAGGACAGGTGACCCACTACCATTATAGGACATTTTGAGAGATGCTCATAGTCCCCTGGAACTAGTTGACCTAGGAGGGCTAGGAGCAAAAACTGTCCTTTATGTCCCTCTGACCAAATTATTACAGGCCTCAAAGTATGTCTGTTAAACACCCAAGAAGGTTAGTTCCACCAGTCTGGTATTTTTAATTACTATGTGTCATGCAGGTAAATCTTGAGCAAAGATCAGTTGTTCTCAGATAACCCTTACCTACGAGTGTTTAACAGACATACATTGAGGTCTATAATAATTTGGTCAGAGGGACATAAAGGATGCCTTTTTCTCCTTGCCCTCCTAGGTCAACTAGTTCCAGGGGACTATGAGCATCTCTCAAAATTCCTATAATGGTGATGGGTCACCTGTCCTCTTGATCAAGGAGGCTGAGGAGACCCCATCAGATATACTTGAACCAGTGTCCAGTCTATAAAGAGGAGGGTCAACACAGAGGAATCATTTCCTCCATGCTTCCAAGCGAAGCCAACCATGGTCGAGCAGGACCTTTGACTTATCTTCACATAGGCGGAACTGGTAAAAGAAACGAGCCAGGGGCTCCTCCCAAGCCTATGTGACCCCTGATGTACAGATCCTCAAATGACCTTAAGAGTAAAAATAAAATTGTTTATGTGGACCAACTATGTGGCCTTAAATACCCAAAAGGGAAGTATAACCAAAGATAAAGAGGCATATATAATTTCATAAGAGTCCATATGCATAGTTAAAGGCTATAACAAGTAACAATGCCAGACAAGCGATACCTTCTTTTGAGTTGTTGACCAGGGTGGCCAAAGGGATTCCCAGATAGAAACCCAGGATAGAACTTGGAAATTGAACAGCAGACCCCAATCTTATCCAAAGGAATATTGACAACTGACTACTGTTAGGTGAGGAACAGCTGACCCTCCTAAAATAAAGACCTCTAGACAGGCTGACTAGATTCACAAGAAGGGCAAGTAGTGGGGAATGGCTGGGGTGCTGACAACACAGCAGACAGTAGCAGAGATATCAGAGTATAAGGGCTCTAGTCGGGGGAGGGAGGCTATGGGAGGGTGCTATCTGGGAAGTGGGTGTAAAAATAAATAAAAAAAATTTTCTGAAGAGATTGATCTCTATATACATCAGTTTAATGTATAACTTTAAGTACAAATTATTTAGCATTCATTTTAATGTTTCCTATGACATTTATGCAACTTGTGAAGACTGTGCAGGAATCTAAGAGGGGCTTTACATTCAGTATCTACACCAAAACACTTGCTTATGCAGC